GCCGTACAGTATGAAGCTTTTGTGGAGAAACCTACCTCCCCTTTTTAACAACAGCATAGATCGAGCATCTGTTATAGAAAAATAAAGATCGTAATTGGGTACTTTTCTCAGTATTATTCTATGAAATGAGACTGAAGGGACTACTATACAGATGAAAAATGTTGAATTACTACAATGTTATGAATGTTATAAATACCATAGATGTGAGAGTACAAAATAACAATAAGAAAAAAAAAGGATGAAAACCATAACGGGCACGTTATACATGAACCCCTCGTTTAGACTCAAAATGAGCGTGGTAGTGTTGTTGTGCGTTAACGTCTTTGCATAACGTGGTGTATGGCACATAGTACTGAATACATAACACTAATTCATTATTTCATCCCTCTCTCCCGCCCTATAACACCGTCCTTTCTTCCTCCTCTGACGCCCTCTCCTCCCGCAGCTACGACGGCCGCACCCCGGGGAATGAGCGCCACTGGTCCCCCCGCCGTGGTCTCGGGGGCGCCCTCAACCTCACCCTCCCGGCCACGCCCTTCGCACGCCCGCAGCTCGCCTTCCTCAACATCGCCCACGTCCACGAGACCGACGCGGGCCTCTACAGGTGCCGCGTGGACTTCCGCAAGGGGAGGTCCGTCAACACCCACACCCGCCTGGAGGTCGTAGGTCGGCGGCTAGCGCGTCTCGTCCCTGTGTGTGTGTGTGTGTGTGTGTGTGTGTGTGTGTGTGTGTGTGTGTGTGTGTGTGTGTGTGTGTGTGTGTGTGTGTGTGTGTGTGTGTATGTTTGTGTGTGCGTGAGAGTGTGCGTATTTATGCGTGTATGTATTCAGTCTATATTTATGCACAGTATCCACACTGAACAGACAAGTTAACCAGAAAGAGAAAAGGAACCATAAACAGAAGGGACAGAACAAACAGCGCCCACAGAAACGTGCATGTTCCGTGTCACGCCAAGAAGCTTTCAACTTGTTTACTGAAATTGCCCTAATGCCAAGAGCGTGGCCACGGATGGGCAGATGCCATCCAGTACACTGACCAAGCAACTTCACAACTTGAGCACTGAACTGAATGAACTGAAGATAGCTTTTCATATTACTTGTAGATTATAATCGTTTATGCATAAAGTGCTATCCTCATAACTGTAGTCCTTTGTTGTGTTAGCTGTTCATGACCTTGCAACTTGGAGATAGTCTATGTATATCTAACTTTATTTGACAAATTTATTTCATTATCTTATCTACTAGTCTCTGCTTTAACGGTAATGAAATCCCAGATGGAGCTTGGAAAAGGAGGCTAGTTTTATTTATTGCCTTTTGTAAATGGATATCGTCTCTTGAATCAGTCTTTCAAAACCTGCTTTGTGCTCTGCCTGTGCAAAAACTTTCGAAATTCCTCTCGTGCGAGCCTTTGAAATTGCTTTTCTAAAAGTTTACAATCAGTACCACTTTTTGAGGTATTAGATTTTACTGTCAAACTCGCCAGTTCTTATATATCAAAAAAGAACCCGTAAACAAATGAAAACAAAACAGGAAAATGTTTCATTACATAGCAATTAACACACACACACATACAAACACATACACACACACATTCATATATACATATATACACACACACATACATACACACACACATACATACACACACACGCACGCACGCACGCACGCACACACACACACACACACACACACACACACACACACACACACACACACACACACACACACACACACACATATATATGTATATATATGCATACACACACACACACACACACACACACACACACACACACACACACACACACATATATATATATATATATATATATATATATATATATATATATATATATATATTACTTTCTGCCCTCACAGCACCGCCCACCGCCCCTGTGGTCGAGGTGTGGGCGGCCGGGCGGAAGCTGCACACCACCAATGACTCTCCGGCAGCCGTGGTGGAAGTCGACACCGAGCTGACACTCCGTTGCTCTGCGTCAGGAGGTGAGTTGGCTCCGAGGGCAAGCCTAATGATTTTTAAGGGTGGGGGGGCCAGGGCTCTGATTTGTCGAAGAGCGGGCAATTTCCTCCTTTCTGGTGAACAAGGGAAGATATTTGCCGACAGAAAGAGCATTTGATGCAGACTTCGACTTATAGAATATATTTTGGGATTTACGGACCTCCAGGTAATTTCTGATAAGTGCAGGTCTCCACTTCGCCGAAAAGTGGGCAGATTTCTTCTTTATTCGCCGAGTAAGGAAAAGCATTTGGAGGTTATGACTTAGTACTTCTTTGGTTAGTTTGTTAGGCTTATGTAATTTCGGATGTGGTTATGTGTCCATGTAACTGATAGCAGAAGGTATTTTCTTCGTAACGATTAACATTCAGTGATTATCAGCGTCTCTGTTTTCCACATCCTCGTGTAATACATTAAGCTTTGTATGTATTGATCTTGGACAACCTGGTCAAACATTTATGTATTATTATTTTCCTATTCCTTCCTGTGTTTAGGGTATATATTATTTGTGTTCATTTTCATTCATAAACAACTACGCCCTTTTCGTGCAGGGCGCCCTTCGCCGACCGTAACCTGGTGGCGCGGAGGACAGAAGCTCCTTGGCAGCATAGACACAGGAGAGGACGGCCTCATCACTAACTCTGTGTCCGTGAGGGTGAGGCCGGAGGATGCCCAGGTGCCCATCGTGTGCCAGGCGTCCAACACGCACCTCGTTCCGCCCCTGAGAAGACCTGTCATGATCCAGGTCATGTGTACGTGCTGTTCATTTTCCTTTTCTGCTGTGACTCGAGTAATTTCTTTGAATTTCCTGGTCACCACATTTCCTTAGTATTCGATAATTTGCGACGAAACCACATTATTATCATCCTTATCATAGTTTACACCGGCCTTTGTCCTTCCAGCCCCGCCCCGGTACGTGCGTGTCATCGGCGCGGACCAGGTCATGTCGGCCGGAGACACGTACACCGTCGAGTGCAAGAGCGTGGGAGCGCAGCCTCCGCCCGTGCTCTCCTGGTCCGTCGCCGGCGAAGTGCCTGGGCGTGCGCAGTCGTCGGTGAGTACAGGCACTTGGCCACAAACACGCACAGGCGCAAAAGGACAGGCATGCACAGATAAGCCTATGGAACTGAATCAAATGTTACTGATATCTGAACATGAAGTGTTTTTGAGTGCTGTATATGGTATGATGATGAACGACGACTTGTTTGTACCCGATACTATCATAATCGGAACTTATTCAAAACAAATATTCAACAGCGTTCAGTCACTCAAGTGCTACCACTACAGCCACTTTTA